ATAGACCACATCTTTACTCTGCGTCAAATTCTGGAACACTCCTTTCATAGACCCACTATTTATCTTCTTTCATCTGAAAGCGGCTTCCGGCTCATTCGATCGCTCTAAACTCTGGTGCTGCCTCTCTCTGAAGGGTGTGCCCGAGAAGTTAATTTCAATATTACGGTCCGTTTATACTAATAGAGGAATCCGAGTCCGAGCTTACAGCTTTTTTTCGTCCGAGTTTACTAAGGAAAGTGGTGTTCTTCAAAGTTACCCCTCTTTTCTATTCATTTTTGTTATAGATTTGATTATCGAAACAGCCCTATCCTCGTGCGAGGAAAGTGGCATTGATTTACTCCCAGGCGATAGGCTGTCTGATCTAGAATGTGCAGACGACATTGAGCTACTAAGAGACGATTCAGGTAATTTCGGTATGCGTTTCGCACCTTCAAAATGTAAAATGTTGCTACAAGATTGGGTTGGGTCAGCCCCCAACCTCATCATGACTGAAGACGTAATAGAGGAAATAGACAAATTTCGCTATCTGTGCGGCTATATCTCACCTGTCGGTTGCACCACAGATGAAGTGTCGGCACGCATTCAAAAGGCTCAGTTGGCGTTTGCCAACTTGAGACATCTGTGGGGCCGTCGCGACATCCGGCTGTTCGTGAGGGTCACATAGGCCCCGTTAGGCTCCCTGGCTGGGGACCTCGGGACGATAATCACCGATGGTTAGAGACACTGAGTGATATGGCTGGGTGTCGCAAACAGCGGCGCTTGTGCATCCACTCATTTCCCTATCACTAATCGATATGAATTCTCCATCTTCCGTTTGAATTTGCTTTCAACATTCCAATCTTCTCTCTGCTCTTTTATCCACATGGGGCATCAAAAGACAGCAACCAAAACCGACGCACGAAAGTGCATGGTTAATGGTTGTAAAAACTGAAACTGAGGATCAAGTATATGTTGAAACAATTCGGTCAGTGCTGCTTTACGGTGCGGAGACTTGGCCACTACGGGAACAGGATAAAAATAGGTTATCGGTGTTCAAACACTGCTGTCTACACAGAATTGCATGAGTCTGGTGGAGTAACCGGACTAGCAATGCTGAGGTTAGGCGTAGAGTTTTAGGCAGTCGCGGTCATCCGCTGCAGTAAGTGGTCGACCTCCATGGACTACGCTGATTGGGATGTGTTGTGCATGTCACTAAATAGGTTACCACCATGCGTAGTGTTTGCCGAGGCAAGTAACGGATGGCAAAAGGTCAAGGGTAGTCAAACGAAGATCTGGCATAGGGGTATAAAAACCCTAACCAGGAGCCTAGGTCCCGTTAGGTTCTCTGACTGGGAACCCCGAGGTGATGATTACTGATGGTTGGAGACACTGAGTGACATGGCTGAGTGTCGCAAACAGTGGTGCTCAAACATCCACTCATTATTCTGCTAAAATCACACCATATGAATTATCCATCTCTCACTTCAATTTGCTCTCAGCATTCCAATCTTCATCTTGCTGTTTTATCCAAATGGGGCACCAAAAGACAGCAACCAAAACCGACGCAGGAAAGTACATGATTAATGGTTTTAAAAGCTGAAGCCGAAACTCTTGTAGATGGGTTTGGCAATCGATTCTGCCGATGTGTGGGGTACACTTTCAGTTTCTCAGATCTTCAAGCTCAGTCTCATAAGTGCTCTCACGAGAGATTCTCCGCCATCTTTAAAGAGGGCAGATGGCAGGCCGTCTGATCCAGCTGCTTTGTGGCGTTTCAGGGCTTGGAGTTCCTTTCGGATGTCCGTTTCTGTGAGCGGTCTCGTAATTAGTTACCAGGGTACACTCTCAAGAGAACTGTTTGGGGCAGCCAGCCGCGGGGCTGGTTGGGTTGCGATGCCCAGCGTTCCTAGCGTCGGTGTAGACTGTTTATTAGCGTGCGCAGATTGTTCACTTACGCACTGTCTTTTGGGGCCCGTAGTACGCATGAGCTGGAATAGTTGCCGGGTGTTTCCCCATCTAGCTGCTAATTCCATCTCCTTTGCACGTAGCGTCCACCAGGCCTCTTGGTCGTCTCTCAAACTCTTAGTGAGTTCACGCTTCAGCGAGAGGCGATGATGATGATCATTGTACTCGCGGTCTGCCGGGATAGCCTGGCGCCTGTCGAGGAGTCGGAGAGTTGGTGGAGACCTAATGATTTACAACTAGGCGGGTTAGGCCGCAACTGTGTAAACCGGCTGAGTGCATTGCGTTTTGAATGGTTGTTCAGTGTTAATCAACGCTTCTTGGTAGAGTAATAGTTAGCCCTGCGGCCAACTCGTTTTTGTAATCGGCTAGTACGGCCGGGTTAGAGAGCTTGGTGACGTCAAGCCCTTGGATCGCATCGTTTTGCAGCCACCAAATCGCATAGACAACTTGACTCATACCAGTGCGTGGTCGCAGTACAAGCAGGTAGATCAATACGAGCGATAGTCTCAGATCCTCTCCATCAATAGCTAGTAGCTATATGATCAATCTGACTTCACGTCTGTGCCGAAGAGGGTTTACTCCGGGCGGCGAGGTGACGCTTACAGTGTCTGAAGTTCGTGCTAACGAGGAACAGACTGTTCTGAGCATGTACTAAGAAGTCTATCCCCATCATCTGAACGACGGCTATGAAGGCCATGATGGCCACCGAGGTGGGTCTCATCGGGTGACAGACGGTCAGCGCGTGCGTTTGCGTCTCTTACCAGGATCACGATATCCGTCTTAGGTGCTTTGAAAAGAAGCTCATATAGGTTGTGATAGCAGATGTCCTGGGTTGTATCCGGGTAACGGTCTGTGGGAGCGTATTTAGAAACCACGAATAAGCATCGCTCATTCGGTTTCTGCTTTTTTACCTTACTCGAGTCTCACTGCGCATAGTCGGTTATCAATCGGGATCCAATCCAATAGACCAGCCTCGGCCCTGACCCCTAAAGCAATACCAATGCCTGCTTGACCAGACGCTGAAGCGATGGGGTCCCCGGAGAGGCGCAGTTGAAACGCTTCTTTTGGGTTAGAAGGGGACGTTAATCGGATCACTGAGCTCGGATCCTGGATGCGTGTTTCCGAGAGGCAAAATACATCAATCTCAAGACTCGAGCGTACGAGCCAAACACATTGGAGTTCGAACGTTGAAAGAAGCCAGTTTGGACACAAAGTGAGATCGGAGAAATAGGACGGTCGTCTCCGAATGACAA